ATATATATATATATATATATATATATATATATATATATATATATATATATATATATATATATATATATATATATATATATATATATATATATATATATATATATATATATATATATAGATATAAATTTCTTTTTTGATAATCTAGGTCTAATTTTTATTGCAGATGGGAATGCATTTAATTTTAAATGGAACACTATGGTGACGCACACATAGAAAAATACACACATAAACAATACAATTTTATACCTTTTGTGAATAGATTTTATGAGAATAATTGTTCATGATTATTACCAAAAAATATGTATTGTTCAAACTATTATATATATATATATATATATATAACATATATATTTACTGCAAAAATAATATACACACATGTACAGAACACATATGCAAATTAATGCACACATATATTTATATATATATATAAATGTGTGTGTTTTCATCAATATAATATAATATTTATAAATTGATATATATATGGGGATTTTTTAAACAATAAAAATTAAAATTTTTGGACATTTTGCTTTTATATTAATATTTTTTTATTAAAATTAAGTTCCTCAACTATTTTCAGCCAGCATGTAGCCATAATCATCAAGAAAAAATCACATACATTTTAGTAGTTCCATGAATACATTTGAATGACTGTATCAAAAAAATTTGAACTTTATTTGTATTTTTGATTTGTTTTTTTATCACTAATTTTGGTTTGCCCTTGTGTTGTTCAAACAACCTCTTTTAAGTTAGAAGAAGATAGAGGATGGGGAATGTTTTGACTTCCAAAAATTTTATCGTTGGTTATTTTGTAAAAGTTTTATTATTGTTGGAATGGGATGTTTTTTTATATATATATATGGATAAATATATATATTTATTTCCACAACAATCAGTTTATTGTTGATGTTTTTTATTAGTTTAAAATATATTGTTATGGAGGAATCTTTGATTTGATTTTGAATGATTAATGTAAATGAAAAAATTGCTGATAGAAAAATCTAGAGCCTATTTCACTGCTGAGTTTGATATTTTGTCAAAATCTGGCTTTTATTCTTCTTTAATATATGGATCATATATAAGAAAATTTAAAAAGAGATCCAGGATTTGATCATAGATTTTGATTTTTTTCAAAGGAACATTGTTTTTTTTTTTTAATAATCTAAAAACTATAACATGTTCTTAAATAAAACAAAGATTAAATTTTTTTAAAAAGAATGCCATGCATTTTTTCTCCTTTTATAAAAACAATAATAAATTTTTAAAATGCATACAACCTGGGATGAATAATTAAAATGGTTTCATGTGAACTTGTGGCCACAAAAGAAATCCTTTATGAAAACTTGTGAAAAAAAAAAAAAAAAATATGAACAATGAATTTTTTTTTTTTAAAAAAAGAAACAGTTGAGGATTGTTTTGTTTTGTTGGATAGCACGTTTTTGAAATTTTACAAATTGCCATCATAAGATTCTCATTCTACACTTTACCAAGCAAGGGAATGAAAAAACCATCAATATTTGAAAGAACAAAACATCTTTTGTTTTTAGAAACTCATTTTCATGGTTTTAAATTAAATATTTATAAATTTCAATCAAACGTAGCATCTATAGTGTATAGCCCCTTCAAAATGATATCTTCTTGATTTTTGAGTTTTGAAAAAATTGCATGTTGCATTCTTTTTTTTTTTTTTGGTCTTAGAATGAGAATATCAAACAAAAGGAATTTTTTGATAAATTTTTTCAAACACATTGACGTGTTGATACTTTGGGGAAAATAGATTTTTAAGTTATAGTAAAGCAAATTTAATATTAAAAATAACCATGTATAAGAATATGACATTTCATATGAAAGTAGTCTTATAAACACTTTATAACTCTAACATTTCCCAATATTCCCTTTTCCAGTCAAAAATCCACATCCCTAATTTGTGATTTAAATGACCCCAATATATCAAATTTTTTTAAGTTAAAAATTTTTTTTTTAAATTTCAATTTAACATTCAGTCAATTAAAACTATATGTTTCTTAAAGGAAATATCTAATATAACCATTATCTGGTTAATTTCTTTGTTTAAAATAAACAGAGATGTCTTTAAACAAACATCTCTGTAGTAGTAGTGAAAATTTAATAAACAAAATAAAAAAAATAATTTCTTAAATCAGTGAAAATTAATTTATTATCATCTCCTTAATGTAAGAAATTAACATTAATACATCTAAATTTCTTAATGACATTTCAACCAATTAAATCCCTTTTCTGAAAGCAGATACTTGGATAAAATGAAAAGATAAAACCCTTGTTATATCAGTGAAGAACAATCTTACTATAATCATTACCATCCCCAAACATTTACCAAACTCAAAATAAACACAGGAAAAAGAGGCATTAAAGACAGTTCAAATGCCAGAAATTGAAAAGGCTGATCCACTCTCCTAAGTATTCTTAAAGAACTAATCAGGATGACATTGGAGATCAAAGAATTTTTTAAGTCTCAGTCAATAGTCTCTACTTCTCCTCTCTATTCTTTTTACCAATTTTTTTTTCAAAAATTTTCTTGAAGGATACAAGTTTGCTTTTAGTATATAAATGAAAATAAACTTTTTCAAAACAACATTCACAAGTTTTCTTTATTATTATTTTGTACTCATTAATGACTACATGAAATTACTAGATTGGCATTTATTCCCACCTAACTTACTGTTCTGTTTAGCTAAATGCCATGCCAATTCTGGACACAGTTTTTTTTTTTTTTTTCCCAGAATGTCTTCCCTTCTGTTTTTTTTTCCAAGATAACTATAATCTTCAAAAATGTAAATGTGGTATCATTTGCCATCTTCTATCTTTTGTTCCTTGAGGTCAGATAAATGATTAAAAATTTTTAACCTATATTTTTTAAATAATATTTGCAGTAACCAGACTAGTTGATCCTTAGGCAACCATTAATATTCTGCAATCTAAACTAAGTTATTAGAAACTTATTATTATTTGTTATCTGCCATTTTTTTTTATGTGTTTGAATCCAAAATGATGCAAAACAGAAATGCCAGACTTTCTATAAAATAAATCAATAGTCAGACGAAATTAATTTGATTAGTTTTATTTTGGATTTTATCAGATTAAATACCAGTGTCAAAGATCAAACCCAAATAATGAAAAACCATTCTTCTTGTAAAATTAAATTCACACTGTCTTTAGTTGTTAAGTCAGTAAAATGTGTTGATTCATGGATGACATTGCACATTTTTTATTATAGTTGAAGCCAGATGCAGGAAGACCTGCAGATAAGAAAAACAAATCTTTGTCCATTCATTTACTATTCTCTCAATTAATGTTTTTTTTCTTCATCACATTCTTTCACATTCAGTAATCCCTTGCATCTTAGTGGCTTTATTTCGAGCTTTATTTTCTAGCATAGCCTCATCTGGGTTCCATAGTCAGAGGCAGAGCATTCGACTGTAAAGCTGAAAAGATTCCAGCTAGTCAGTATTGAAAGTTAATTCAATATCAACAATTAATTTGGATGTTCTTGGATTTGATTGTTACCTGTATGCCAATCAATATATATTTTTGAAAAAAAGGTGGATAAAATAAGTAAAGGTTTATTGTAAAACCAGTCAATAAGAATAAAGATAACAGTTATGTACAAGGTCATCTCAAGTCATTCTAATAGTGATAACTACTATTGGAAGCCCCAGTTTTCATGTCAAGTTTGTTTGTCCTCATCAGATCCCAGCTAGTATATTGGGTAGAGGTTGAACCTATATTCAGATTTGGCACAGGCATTTTTTTAATAATAATAATTCGAGCCTGTAGGTTCATTTTCAAAATTTTGGGGTAAAATATGTGACACAAGACAAATTTGCCCTTCAACATGGCCTTTCTAGGGATCCTTCTGGTCTGGAGCAATCAAAGTTTGACTGTCGGAACAGATCCCAACTAGAGTATTTCTAGCAACTGCCCCATGCATTCACATGTGGCACAAATATTATCTCAAATGAAAATAAGCCAATTCCTTCTGGATAAAAATCCTTGGAGACCCTGCATAAATGGGATTGAGTCTGTCTACCTTTTTCAGCTGTCAAGAAGTTTTCTTTGATATATAGCCTAGTTTCATTAGGGGTTATAGTGCCCGAAACAGATTTTGACAGCACTGCTGAAAAAGATTCCAACTATTGTATTTTACTAACCTCCCCTCATGATCAGGTGTGGCACAAGGATGGGTTTATCTTTCATATTCATCTGTGAAGGTTTTTCCATAAATTCCCGTAGAAATTTCAAAACAGGATTGGGTTATTCTTTCTCCCCAAACAAATTCTGCCTTTGGCATGCCTCATCCAGGTTCCTATCCGCTTGGATGGCAGAGCATTTACTGTAAAGCTCAAAAGATTTTAACTGTCAGTATTTACTAACCCCACCCACGAGGGTAGATACTGGCACAAAGCCAAGTTTAATGTGGTAAATCTGAGTAATGGTTTATTGAAAAATTCCCAATAGAAAAAAAATAAATGGGAACGTTTGGTCAAAGGTCGTCTGAAAGACTCTGCCCTTCAGCCTAGCCTTGTCAGGTTCCTCTCTGCTCAGAGGCAGAGAGTTGATCTACACTCAAAAAATTTTGGCTTGTATATTCAGCTAACCCCTCCACGATGGTTGCATGTGGCACAAGGCCAGGTTTAACGTGGGTTCTCCGAGCCCTTAGGCTCGGCCAAAAATGCGCAGAACCCAGAACAGGATCAGATTGGTCAACATCCCTGAACAAGGCTCTGCCAATTGGACTTTGCTCTCGGCTCAGCCTTGTCCAGGTTTCTCTGCTCAAAGGCAGAGAGTTTGACATTTAGCTGGAAAAGATTTTTGGATAGTCTCTGTAGTCCATTGACTTACAGATACTTATACACTTATAGTGACAGGTTATTCGTTATATCATTTATTAGTTTGTTATTATTATAGAATAATTATTTCTAAAGCAATTTTATTTACTGTTTAGAGCTAAATATTTTGTGGAAATT